TGCCTCCTGCTCGTGCCCCAATCTGGGCTGGGGATTGAACCCATGACCCTTCAGTCCGCAGGCCTATGCTCTATCCAGAGCCAACCAGACTAGGGCTAGGCCTAAGAGGTTTAAATATCTGCAGCAAATGCTGAATTTTCAGTTATTATCACTGGTGACATCTTTTCATCCATCCAATAAACATATTTCAAAGTATCTACGTGGCCCCAATGTCTGGCCCTGCGGACCCACGACTGGCCAACCCATACTGACAAATCTGCCTGGCTCTCGAGTGCCAAAGGCCTGAAAGACATGGGTGCCCTTTGATGTATAAACTCCATTGCTAATAATTTACACGAAGGAAGTAAGGATGTGGAAAAAGACTTACTAGTAGAATGTTTATTTAAGGACTATAACTCATCGCATGAAGTTGGAAATACCTGATGTGTCCAATATTAGGGATTAATGAAATGATCATACACCCATAAATGGACTGCACTGTGGCTGTTTATATTACATAAAGGTTCTTTACATTACATAAAAATTATAATAAGTATGGTATAATCTCATATTTGTAAAAAAATATGTCTCTACGTAGAAAAGACCTTGGAAGTTGTTAACTGGATCTGGGTAGGTGGATGGTGTATATTTTCTTTTGTTTGTCAGTATTTTCTAACTTTTCTGTAACTGAATATACATTACTGTAATTCTAGAAACCAAAGTTTCTTTTCAATTAAGAGAGGAAACTAGGGCTATTATAGCTATAATTTGGCTTAAAAACGGCTGAATTATCTTTCTCTCCCCCCCCCCCTTTTTTTTTTTTACCATTCCATCAATCCCTCACTCTATAATATACATTAGATTTTTTTTCCTGGCTCACATGCTGTGCAATCTGGCTGAGGTAGGAGGAGAAATTCTCTTGGTTTAATTGCTATGGCAACAAGAGTTGAAAGAAATCTTACATATAATTTAGTTTAGTCCTTTTCATTTTATAAAATAAGGAACTCGAGGGAGATCCCAGAGAGTGACCTTTACTTAAGGTTACAAGGTGAGTTGTATAGCAACCCCTCTGATCTCCAGATTCCCGGTTCACTTATTCCCAAGAAACTGGCTTAACATCCCCATCAATGATCCTGGCTGCTAAACTGGCTTTGGGAAGCGGGTAGAGCATACATGCCAATAGGAAAACCCAAGAGAAATCATAAGTCAGTTAAGCAAAAACACCTAGTTACTTTTATAACACTAAAGTGAACTCCCAAGTGCCAGGAAACAGGAAAAACGTATCAAGAGAACACAGAGGGCTTTCCATGTTGTTGAGCACTGATTCCTTTGGAGGACACAGATTGGGAAACAAGGTGACTCTGGGATTCAGTCACTCACAAGTGCCCTAGGTTAATGACTACCAGTCCTGTATATGTAAATTAAGTCCTGTATGTGTAAATTACTGCAATATATGTCCTTAAGTAACAAAATAGTTGATATATTTATGGTAGACTGCCAACTTCTAACAAGGTAATAACTGTGTGGCTTTTCATATATTTACTTTTTTCCATGCATAAACAAAAAATTTGAATAACACATATCACTGGTTCTAAATGTGGTCTGCAATCCTTGCGGGTGGAGGCATGGGGAGGGGGCCTTGAGGTTAAAAGTATTCCATAAGAATACTAACACAGCATTTACTTTTTTCACTGGGTTGACAGTTGCACTGATGACGGAAACTGTTGGCACCTTAGAACAAATCAAGGCAGTGGCACCAAACTACCCTAACAGCTGTATTCTTCACTGACACTCCCTTATGCAAAAAATAACGTCAATTTCACTTTAGATGTCGTTGATGAAACAGTTAAAAAGTATTAATTTTACTAAAACTCATCCACTGAACATGTATGCGTGGCAAAGCATGAACACAGCACTTCTGCATTCTTGAACATAATGGCTGACCAGAGGATTTAGAAATCAAAAGCAAGGGAAGATCCTGTGAGGACATAGAGAGAGGACAGCCATCTGCAAGCCAAGGAGCGAGGCCTCAGGGAACCAACCCTGCTGACATCTTGATCTCAGACTTTCAGTGCCCAGAACTGTGAGAAAATAAATTTCTGTAGCTTAAGTCAACAAACAAACAAACAAAAGACCCCACAAAAGCACTTGTGCAATTGATTGAATCATGAGCCAAAATAGCTGCTTTTTTTTTTTTAAAAAACACTGTCTGTACTTGAAAAAAAGGACTGACGGACAAACTGTGGTTATTGAGAAAACGTGTTATTTAAAAAACCTGTCACTAGAGGACAACTGACAGTATGTTACCAATGAAAAAATTTCAGCTTTCAAATGAAAATTTTGAAAAATTGTATCTGCCACTGAGCCTGCCAGATTCCTAATACTTAAGACTTTTATGATGACATAGATAATGATATTAAAAGGAATATGATTGATACTGTACAAAAGAAATATGTCAAATTAGAAGATCTCTTCAACACAATGAGCCACTATTTCCAATGAGCATGTTTGATATTATAAATC